TCTGGAAAATTCCCAATTACACCAAATCGTTACCATATTGAATTCAATCAATTGTACCAAATGTGTGGAACTAAAGTATACAAGATTACGATTCTCGCGTCGTTATAGTAGCGGAGCGAGCTGCGAAGGACAAAGATTTGGTCTTGATATGCACTTACCAATCGCAACACGGACGATTAGCTAGTCTTATACATTAATAAATGAAATTTCAATATTGTCTATCAGTCCGTCCATTAAGCGAGACTGGTGATAAACTGACGAGTAGACTTGGTTCGAAACGGCTCTACTGTTGGTTCGAACTTAATGCTAATAGTCTGAGTTATATCATTTCTTCAGTTGAGGCCCAGTAAGCGTAACGAGAATACATCACATGTTGAATAAGCAACATGATTTGTGTGTGGTAAACAATAACTACAGTCACACCTCTATATATAGACACCAAACTGTGCGTCCACATATAAACCGTTCACATTGGAAGCGTAACAATTTTCTTCCAAATACTGAGATATGGTGGTCTGAGTCTTGTCTTTCCTGACAAACTCCGCCACTTTTGCTAAAGCTCGTGTCTCTTCGTCGCAGTTGGGATAACGAGCAATAAACTCTGCAAGCTTGACACAGCAAGCTAGAGGTTGTATCGGGCTTCAGCCTCCGAGTCATTGTCCCCATCTTGATCCGCATCAGGCCCAACTCGTTCGATCACATCCTGGGCACACTCGATTGGCTCTGCTGAGTCTGCGTCAATGTACGCATCGATACCGTCAGCAGCATGCATCTCCTTCATCAGCGCTGCGAGATCCTCTTCTACGCTCACATCCAACGCGTGACCATAATCGTTTCCCTGCCTAGGTCGTGCCACTGTCGACGCGTCGACAATGCTGCACCGCAACGAGCAGTTGCGCAGCACTCGAGCGGGCACTTCCTACCAAGTGGCGACCGCAAAATACACAGCCTCTAACACATTCAACTTCCGATTGATGCCAGCATGCATGGCATCAAGCAGCCAACGAACGAGCTTGCGTCGATAGCGATCTTGAATGAACGAATGATTCCTAGAACAGAGACAGTAGTGAGTAATCAGAAAGAACTGTGATACCGTATTGCTTACCTGCATCCAATTGCTGAGTCAGTTGTGTCATGTTGGGTGAAGGAAACTTTACCATCACATTCCGACATACATAGTTGACTGTGTGGCTGGACACATTACCCCGGAGTAGAAGAACTTTGCAGCCGTGTATTTTGAGGTCGAATTGCTGAAGCTAAGTGGCAAACGTGGTTCGATTTTTGCCACGCAGTCGGACTGTAGAAATTTCGGAATCGCATTGCTGAATTCTTGACATATCGGAACGCTTATAGCTGATTCGCCTTGCCAATAACATCAGCATCGTTTTCTCCAAATAGATTGCAACAAAATCTAATCGTAAAACGGTATTTTCTAGTTGTTGGAACATGTCGACCGACGGAGGCGAGTGTTAAGAGGGAGGCGGTAGAACAGTGCAGACTCGTCGAAGTTGAACACGTTTTCGGAGCTGGAGTGGGCAGCTCGTACTGACTGACAGCGAGGCTAACACGATCAATAGAATGGCTTTCACCACACATTGTATACAACTTGATGCCATGGCGTGTCTTGAACTTGTGGAGCCACCCGTTAGACAGATTGAGTTTGGCATCCGTGATGTCAAGTCTGTATTGAATGGAGCGAGCCTCTTTGATCAAGAGTTCGTCCGTGATAAGGCCAATAGGCTTTCAACCCCCCTGGCCTGATAAGTACTTCAAGTTCAGAAAACAGAAATAAAAGGGGGTATACAGATATATAAGGTCTACAGTTAATGTCCGACACAAAAATTATGTGGTCCGCACAACATGTGTTATTAGACCTAGCTCATTACACAAAGAACTTGACAAGAAGTATGATCTGGTGGAGATTCGTGTTCACCTCTTGGGCTCAACTCCGCTTGTCTTTGAACGGAAAACGCAAGGCTATCAAATGGAATTCAGTCTCCACACTTGCCACAGCGGATGGCTCGCTGGTTGTCATTCTTTGCAGAGTATAATTGTACGCTTGCGTATAAACCGTGAAAACTGAACGTGCTGGCTGACGCATTGTCACGTCGTCCGAATTATGAGCTGCTCATATAAGCTATATCGAAAACGATGTATTCGATATGATACGTCGACCGTATGTTGAGGATAAACAGTGTATTCTGACCATCAAGGCACCCTTATCGAGTGATACAGACTTTCACAACAGAAGACCAACTAACCTCTCAGTGCCCAACTTAGGTGGCCCAGCATGCACGAGTGGGTTGCATGATACGTGAAGACGTGCGATGTCTGTCAGTGCGTGAAGAGCGCACGGCACGCTGCTGAGTCTTCCTACTGTTGGAAGTAACTCTCTCTCGACTTGATCGTTGGCTTCACCGAGAATGCTGATGATCACAATGAAGTGCTCGACTTCGTCAGCAGACTCAGCAAGATGATTCGCATCACTCCATGTAGCGATTCTATCGAAGCTAAAAGTTTGGCTGGAATATTCATTGATCACGTTTTTCGTAATCACGGGGTACCAAACGCCATCGTCTCTGATCGTGATGCAAGATTCACGAGTAGCTCTTCGAAAGATTTTTTTTAATTCTTGGCGCTCGATTGAGTATGTCCATCCGGAGACTGATGGGCAACAGAACGTACCGACAAAGCCGTCGGTGATGTGTTGGGAAGCTTTTGTGCGGAAATTCTGCAGAATGGAGTTCGTTGTTACGATTGGTTAAGTTTCTATGAGCAATTCCGCACATTCATACACTAGATTGCGCCATTTTTATTAATGGCTTGCGACACTCGCGAGTTCCGCTTTGTGCGATGGGTGGTGCCTCTGATGTGAAGGAGGAGATCAACAAATCGTTGCCTCCCAAATTGACACAATTGGTGATTCGAATGCGGAGCGCAAGTACAAGTACGCCCTGGACTTAATCAACATGAGTCGTGTGGATGTGATCATACGCGTGCGAGATGTAATGACGAATGTGCGAGATTTTTAAAGGAATACGCAGATCGACGAGGTCGCCAAGGCAAAATGCGTTTTATTGTGGAAAAAATTATGTTCTACTTATTAATAAGAATTGATCACACGATGCGGTCTCATGCTTGGAAGGCTTAAAGCTATTACCTCGCTTCATCGGTCCATCTCATACCACATAAATTCTTACACTATTGACTTGCCAAGCTGACTAAGGGCACCCAACGTTCTACGTACGGCACCTCAAGCCCTATTATCGCGACGACGCGACTCATTACTTAAATGTAACGCAGGCTTAAACGAATACGGCTTCAAAGCGACAGCGTCGGCCACGAGGGTTAATAATGAACATCTTGGCGTCGTCGCCTCAGCAACATCCTCAGAATCAAAAGGATATCGTGGAGTTCAGGACCAAACGAACAATTGCGAGAGTCGGAACGTCGACAATAAGCAGATGGCTGCTAGTTGCGTTGGGGATAACTCCTGGAAGTACATCCACCTGGATCAGAGCGAGATCGCTTGACCGGAGGCTCCACATCATCAAAGCCAGCAGGCGGGAGAAGTTTCAGAGCCTGCTCCAGTCACCGAGTTCAATTCTCGATGGCAAACCCAGGAGAATTTCCAGTATGCCATACAAGATCGCAAATGTCACAGACGATCCGTCGAGAATGCTTTACGCGTTGTCGCGTCCTACTTCGTGATAGAACGCCTCGATCCTCCGCTGATTCGCCACGAGGAGTCTTTCAATCTTCGTCGATCGCAATTCCAAATCAGACAATGATTGTGGAGCGGATAGAAGAAGCAGAGGGGACGCCCTCTTCATGCACCCAACCCTCTTCTTGATCGACACGGAGATCGATTCTACCATGTCGAGAACGTGGTTGCGGAAAGGAACGTCCGCAGTAATGGCTGGTTATCCAGCGACCGAAAATACGTGAAGCCTCGGAGTCGTATTCTTTGGGACTGTAGCGATACTGTTCTCGCATTCGACGCAGGTCCAAAGACAAACTCCGCTTAAGGGATCCGTCCCGTCTTCTTCTCTCTCTCTCCCTCTCGTCGTGGATTCGAGTAATGACCGCACAAACCTCGCTCACATCTTCCGTATCGGAGTGAACCTGATCCTGCGCTGTTAAATAGGCAAATCAATTTTAGCTTAAGTGTGAAAAAACTTTATACCTAAGAGCAAGAGTCTTTGAGTAATGTTGTTGACAATTTAGGAAATACCTACCTGACTCTTAGCCGTTCTTTTTAATTTAGATTATGCGTTGTGGTGCACAATGTAGTATCAACATAACTCTCAGATAAAACGACAAGATGAATATTTTTGTCTACCGTGTCTACCATCGAGGTAAGGGATAAACTTGGTCGGCTAAATGTGGTAACATATGCACTTTTGCTTCACCCCGATAATAGTCTGTTGCATGATACGACCGTAAATCGCGCATTGATACGGTGGTACGATCATCGTACAGGTCAGATGCAACATATGTGTTGCGGTAAGCATGATGAATGAAGTAATTTTGGAGGCTTTCAAATGAAGTGTTCTCATAAACACCATCCCAAACCATTTCGTGGCATCATGTGTTGAGATTCGAATGTCATTTTGATATTTGGCAGTCGTCATCATTAATCAAGCCTTTTTTGTTCAGCATGCACTTGGCCATCCCCACATCATCCCCTTAAGTCTTTCATCCATTCCAATTATACTTTGAGTCGAATCTAGTCGTGAGATATCCTATTAGACTCGCGTGCAGAAAGCTTCTGCTGCCGAATTGCGATACTCATTTCTATCTCCGATCCGAAGTAGGCTGGCGTTTCTGACGAATTAGCCCTAGCATCCTGTCAAAACTGATCATAACCTCGCCAAAGAAGCCACTCTTACCGCGGATCGGGTAGAAATCTTCAAACATGATCAAATTTGCCACGTACTTAAACCGAGACTAACACGCTGATCCGTATCGGATCATGAGCGTCAATGCTCGCCGTAGTATCCAAATAGGCGTTTACTTTTTATTCTTGAGCCTCATACTGGTTTGAACGGCTCGCGTGTTTGCTTTGTGATTTTGCGCACCTCGTATATGATAGCCACTGTTATCTCTCGGACACCGACTACAGAGACGTCCACTATCACGTGGTATGTCTAGTGAGACGACGTCTTCACCAGGGTCAACCCAATATCTGGCGAAGCGGCGGGGATATCCCAACACCGGAAACTCGCGGGAGTTTGAGACGCCACTTCGGCAAGATTGCCCAGACGCCGTGGACGC